ATTGGTTAAAATGTAATTGTCATTCAGAACATAATTTTACAATTTTGTTTCGTTCAGCAAATAAAAATTTTTGGTTTTTTACATGCAACATATGTGGGTTTTACCAACCCGTAGCCGATTACAGGGAAACTTTTAAATCAAAATTATCGTTTTTATAGTAAATTTGTATAAATATGAGATGTAATTAAAAAAAATAATAAACAAATAAACAAATTAATAAATAATAAAAAAAATAATAAACAAAAAATGAACGTTATCGTAAAGAGAAAAATGGTACAGGGAAAAAACCCTGGAAAAGAAACTGGCAGAAGCCCTAAATTACACATACATCGATCTCGATCTTTACGAAGATAAAGTTTACAAAGAACTGTTCTTAGGTTTTCTAAACCATAACATCAAGACGGGAAAATACGTTATATCTGGAAATAACACGATCACACTAATCTTACAAAACAACGACATCAACATACTCCTCACTGCCGATTTTGATACTAGAGTCGAACGAAAATACATTAAATCACATGACATAGACGAAGATCAGATTAAAGAACTTGTAAGACGCAATGATAAAAAGTTTGAAGAAAAATTGGTTGATTTCATCCTGGATACCACTGAAAAAAATGTAGAAGAATCGTTTAAAGAACTTTACGAAACTGTGATGAAGACAAAAACAAACAATGAAATTTTTAAGAAATTAGGAATAGCCTTAGCATTTTTATTGTTTAGCATTCTTGTGGAAATCATTTTTAACAAAAGATATTTTATTACAGAAATAAAATAAATTAAAAAAATAAAATAAATTTTTACGTTCAAAAAGAACAAGAATCACACAATTCTAGCACTTTGTAAACATAAAAATCTATTTATTATCATACAAAACATCGTTAAAATACAAGAAATTGTTATAATATGGATCCTGAAGAAACATATCATAAGGCACATAAATCCCCAAAGAATCCCAACCATCATCCTCTAATGGAATATAATTAACGTCAACCAAATCAGTGGAATTAATATCCACAACAGTAAAATTAACATTCACGACAGAAGAATTAACATCATCTAACAAATCCTCAACAACAGGAGAAGGACAAAGTGTATCAGATAATGCTTTTTCTTCAATATATCGATCGAATTGTTGCTCTTCTTCAATAATAACATCGTTTGAAGATAAATTTTCAACTTCAAACTCGTTAGAAGATTTATCTTGATTCAAAGATTCATCTTCAACCATGTTTTCTTCATCATCTAGAACTTGTTTTCCTTTATTGGATTTACGGAATTCTTGGAGAGCTAACCATGACCTTCCATAGTAATCAGATGCCGCCTTCAATTCCGATCGAGTTTTTCGATAAAGCTTTTTATAATAATTAACTGTTCTTCTCTTTTTTGATTGTTTTTCACTATCTTTAACATAAGCATTGTTCAAGATAGTATTTGAAGTTTCAATAGAAAAATCTTCCTTCACCTCTTCGTAAGATCTCTTCTTGAGTTTAGGATTGCTTATAATTATTTCTGGAGTAGTGTTCTTTATGTACTTGTACATTTTTTTAACAGAAATTGACCATCTATGAGCAGAAAGCGTCCAATTTAAAGATAAACAGATAAACTATCACACGCTTTCTAACACCAATGAAACAAAATTACCAATTGAAAAATCGAATGATCATGTAGATCATCGATGATCGACACACTTTCTCCGAATCAGAAAACCTGTTTTCCGAAACATCCAACCTAACTCCTGACTATAAATTTCTCACGCAATCAACACCAAAATCTCTCACGCGATCAACATTGAAATATCTCACAAGATCAACACCAAAATTTCTCACAAGATCAACTGAATTTCTCTTGGAGATCAGCTGATATTTATAAGATAAGACTAATTTACATCTCATACTAAATCTCTGTTTTCATCTTTAGAACATTCACAAAATGATTCTAAAACATCAGAAAAATCACTATAAAATCATGTCATACATCATGTATGTAACATAAATTCTGAATCAAAAATAGCAACTAAACAAAATATAAAATGCCTTCCTTTTTCCATAAAATCACTTTATCTTTTTTTGTTTTAAAAAAAAATTAAACGAAGAAAATTTTGAAATAATGACAGAAACTTTAGTATCTCCGGATGTTCCTGGATACTCTTACTTGAACTTAATTAAAGAAGAGTACTATGCAGAATTAGCCTCTATCTGCAAAAGAAGCCCAACTGTTAAAAGAGTTGTGGAAATAATCGTACAAAACCCGGACCCTATTGGTAAATTATACCAAGGAAAAATCAAACCAACAAGGTTTGATAACGAAAAATTTTTTAAAATTGAAAGAGAAAGTGAGGGAGAATGGGATGATACGAGTAATCCAGAATGGTTCAAATGTAGAGAATTTATGTACCATATCGCAAAACATTATAGAGATTATACATTTATATAATTTTAAAATTTTATTTTTATTTGTAATATTTATTTAATAATTTTAATAAAAATATAAAATATATGAAAAATTATGTTTGAATCTGGTAAATTTCGATACAATTGAGTGTATGCTGACCACAAACTACCCATGGTTCATAAGATGATAACTCATGAAAGTTCCAATTAAATCTGTTCATATACAAATTGTTAACACCAAAATTGGAACTATCGCCACGTACATTAACAAATAATTCATTATTTATTTGTCTTGTAACCTCAAAATTGGTATTGTCTGAAAAGTAAAAATATTTAAGTAAAAGTATAAAGCTATTTAAAATTTTAGTTTTTTCACCATGTTTTCAATATCCGGCATTGTAACCACCATATAAATATGAATTATTTTGTCCAATAATCAGCAGTGATTCTCTATTCTCAATCACATCATAGAGATCTCGTCCAATCAAAGAATCTTGACCTCGCTTTGCGGAGAAAATCAACTTATATCAGGTTAGTGGATTATTGAAGATTTTGTTTAAATTATTGATACGAGAATGTGTGAGAAATGATGAAATTTTATCGATATTTGAATATCTGATCCATCCTAAATCGTGTTGTGGAACGTAATTCGAATCTAGTTTTTTACTAATAATATCTTTTAAAAGATTCTGATTCTCGGTAAGATTGTATTCATTCCATAACAATTTTATAATTTTTTCTTTTTCCAGTTGATGTAAACGAAGTTCTCTTAGGTCAATATCATAATTATTTTTTTTAATTACCCAGAGCAACTCTTTTTCTGTCACTCCCAAATCATCTCTTCTCAACAATAATTTAAATGTCTTGTTGCTAAATTTTGCATCAGTATCAAATACAAGCTTTCTAATATCTTGCATTATATAATGAAATGTTGATTCAAATATGCAATATAAAGACTCACATTCGAACAAAAGTTCAACCAACATGACAATTTCCTCACTTAAGAAAGTGGTAACGGTGAGTTTAAAACGCTTATATATTTTGATTGACAAATCATTTAACAACAATTTATCACTTTCCTTCAACAATTCAATTGTCAATTCAACATTATCAATTTCGAGTAACGTATTGGAATAAAGATAAGTTACAATAATATGCATTACAGCTCGTTCCTGATCAGATTCAATGACAAACATTCCCGCTTCGTCCTTCTTAGCCCAAGTTGACGATAATAAAGTACGAAAATACTCAGAACGAGCGCTTAAAATTTGAGAATGCGCATGTATCTCTGGATCAGTTTTGATGATAACATCTGCATTTTCTCCCAAGAAACTTGACATTTTAAAATTTTATTTTTTTTGTATTTAAAATTTACGTTTAAATAACAAAATAATGACCGAAATTGCTAAATGTGGAAATATATATTTGGCAATTTAGTTAAATATAAAACGCATATCCATACCCGCTTATATACTTTAGCCTTTTTTTAACATTCATTGAAAAAATAAAAAATGAATGAAAAAAATTTACAAAAACTTAAAGATTTAACTGAAAAAATATCGGAAAAATCACTATAAAATCGTGTTATGCATCACATATGTAACGTAAATTCTGAATCAAAAATAGCAATTAAACAAAATATAAAATGCCTTCCTTCTTCCATAAAATCACTTTATCTTTCTTTGTTTTAAAAAAAATTAAATGAACAATCAGAATGGTTCAAATGTAGAGAATTTATGTACCATATCACAAAACATTATAGAGATTATTTTATATAATTTTAAAATTTTATTTTTATTTGTGAATATTTATTTAATAATTTTAATAATAAAAATATAAAATATATGAAAAATTATGTTTGAATCTGGTAAATTTCGATACAGTTGAGTTTACGTTTATCACAGGAAGACCACCTTCATCTGATTGGTTCTGGTTCATATGACGATAACTCATTGAATTTTCAACTAAACCCGTCCATACACAAATTGTTAATACCAAAATTGGGACCTTTATCATCACACACACTAACAAATAATTCGTCATTTTTTTGTTTACCAACTTTAAAACTATTATCTGAAAAAATAAAATACTTATGTGAAAATATAAAGCTATCTAAAATTTTAGTTTTCTCGCCATATTTCCAATATCCATTTATCACTTTCCTTCAACAATTCAATTGCCAATTCAACATCATCAATTTTGAGTAATGTATCAGAGTAAAGATAAGTTATGATAATGTGCATCACAGTTTGTTTCTGATCAGATTCAATAACGAACATTCCATCTTCATCCTTCTTACCCCAAGTTGATGATAATAAAGTACGAAAATATTCAGAATGATCGCTTAAAATTTGAGAATGCGCACGTATCTCTGGATCAGTTTTGATGATAACATCTGCATTTTCTCCCAAGAAACTTGACATTTTAACAATTATTGTAATTTTATTTTTTTGTATTTAAAATTCACGTTTAAATAACAAAATAATGATTGAAATTGCTAAATGTAGACAATCTATATTTGGCAATTTAGTTAAATATAAAACGCATATCCATACGTTCATCAAAAATAAAAAATGGATGAAAAAAATTTACAAAAACTTAAAGATTTAACTGAAGAATTGGAAAAAAATTTTGAATATTCGATGTTGTATCAAATACTTAATATGAAGTTGAAAAATCCTGATCTCTACGATGAATTTACAGAAGAAAATTATTACTGGTATCTGTTGCAGGTGGAAAAATTATATGAAGGAAAAGAGTGGACTCAAAAAGATAAAGAAAAAGCTCTCAAATTACTAGAAAAATACACAGAAAATAACAAAACAAGACATTAGAAAAAAGCTGATAACGAACTAAGAAGTATATATTTAAATTTACCGTATGAAATTAAAAAAGATCAAAAAGAAATTTTTGAAAATGTAAATGAATGGTGGAATAGAAGCATAAATCAAACCAAAGAATTTCAATTGAAAATTCCGGATTCGATAAAAAATGATATATAATACGAATCACTTGACAGGGAAACTTTTTTAAAATTAGCAAATTATTGATCATGTAATATCCAAAATTAATAAAATTTTATTGCTTGAAATAGTAAATTAACTTACTAAATATGGAATCTATATTTGGTAATTCAATAAAATTATATAAATATGCTAAAATACAATACAGGAATAAACAACAGATAAAATGAACCAAGAAAAAAATGAAAAATCCTGAAATCGCTAAAATACAGCGAACTATACAGAAATTACTACTATCTTGTCTCGTATAATAAAACAAACAAGAAAGCAGTTATCAAAATCAGTAAAATCACGAAAAAAGAAATCATTAACAACGAAGAAAAAACCATGTTCAAACTCATGTTAAACAACGCAATCGAAGAAGCAAAGAAAAGAATCTGTAAAAAGATCATTGAAAAACATCAAGATCTTTTTGATGAAATTGAGAGTAAATAGATACCTATTACAAAGAAGAACTCTTTGAATTCTTAGATAGTACCATTGAAGATTTTGTTACCGATAATATCAATAAATTTATATTCGCATCAATCTTTCGTATATTTACCAAACATTACTACTTTCACGTTCCTGTTAGTGAAGAACATAATCTACTTACAGAAGATGAAAAAATCTTTTTTAAGAATTTATTGACACAAGTAATTGAATATCAAGAACAAAAATTTGGTAAAACATTGTTGAAAATGCTTACAATTAAAAATGAAATCGAAAAAAAAATTGAAAAATCCTCTAAAAGAAAACTATTCAGATACTTAAATTTACTATTTTGTAATATTATTATTAACAAATAGAGAATAAAAATATTTTTGATATTTCA